CCTTCATGGGGTGTTCAATAGTGATCAAACGCACGTTAAAATGTGTTGGTTTGTTTCGGCAAAAAAATCTCCTGGGACAATTTACTTGGGAAAGAAGAAACAAGAGGGGGACGGAATCTTCAAAGTTCTATAAAAACCCCAGATCCTCTTCAAACGAGCTGATTTCAACCATGTTAACACTTACAGGATTTTATTAAATTTTTACTAGAAATTTCACCCATTGGTAATCGGTCAAAAAAGCCGCTTTTGAGCCTCAAGCTTCAGAGATTTGGTGTAAAATTCAAAAAACTCTATTAACTAGCTTAGTAAGACATTTGGACAAAAAGCAAACTCCAACTTTTTTATGGCGATTTATGGCTCCAACTCTCTATCCAGCGCAGTACTCAAAATTTCCTCTATCTTTCTTAAATTTGTAAATATTGAATTTTGTTGAAAACCATATTTTTCATACAAAGAATATCTTTTTCCGATAAGAAGCTTTGTTGGGGAGGAAAAAATAAATTGATTGTGAAAATCGTTCAAAAATCCCAAGCTTTTCTCGGTGCCAAAATTAAAGTTGAATTTTGCGAAATGCTCCTTCATGAGGCGTTTCATACGCACAAAGCACATGCCAAATTGAGTTGGTTTGTTTCGCAAAAAGGGCCCCGTACTAACTGAGGGAAAAAGAAGGAAAACCTTGTGGGCATCCAACTTTCTCCCAACCTACTTACATTCCTAGGTGGAATCAACATGCTCAATCTCAATTAAACCCACTAGAGGTCAGGAAAGAATTGTCCTCATTGCTAAGTGAGTTGGTTTGTTTCGGCAAAAATACCCCGAACGATTTATGGGCGAAAGAACAAAAACTCTGTACAGGTTCTTATAGGGAGCGAACCTTCAAAGCTCCAGAAAAACTGAAAATCCGCTTAAAACCAGCTAGTTTCAACTAAGTAAATTGTTTTCTATTGTTTCTTTATATTTAGGAAAAATTCCACCAACTGGGGGGCCAAAAAAATTTTCCATTTAGAGCTTGAGTTCCACGCAGAGGATTAAATTTTCTTTGAAATAATTAGTTTTTGACATTTTGGCGAAAACCGACTATGCTGAGGCTTTTGAAAAAATTTGGTCAAAAAGCTTCTGACCTCCGCGATATTTTATAAAAATCTAGTTTTTTCCATGAGAAGGTTGGTTGGGCTGAAAAAAATAAAGTATGAAAATCGTCCAAAATCCCAAGCCTTTGACCGATGAATTTTTGGGTGCAAAAATCGAAATTTAGTTTTAAAAAATCCTTGGATTTGTAGATATCTAATTTTTTCTGATGCAAATCAAGTTTTTTGCATTTTTTCAAAACCGT